GCACCAGCAGGCTCAAGGTGCCGCGGCACTGACGGGCACCAGCAGGCTCAAGGTGCCGCGGCACTGACGGGCACCAGCAGGCTCAAGGTGCCGCGGCACTGACGGGCACCAGCAGGCTCATTCTCCCGAGGACGACACGTCCTGGTATCTGCACCGGCTTCAGTGCTGCTGCACAGAGACATGTTTCACCTCATCTACACCTTCAGGTGACAGATTAAGGCTGACTGGCTAACACTGGTGACTGCAGATTGGTTAGGGTTTGGCCTGGATCATATTCAAGGAGCACTCAGGCTGGGATCCTCAACAGGCCTCAAGCCAGGAAGACCCCGTAGAGGGGCCTCACAAACAAGATAAAACAGGTTCAGTCACCTTAAAAACCCGAGTGAAGACAATCTCTACCTAACATTCAGAGCCTGACGAGTGAAAAAATAAATACAGACACATCCAGGGATGACAACCAACCTGACAAGCAGAGAGAGAGGGAGGGAGGGAGGGAGGGAGAGAGAGAGCGGGGGACTCCATAAACCTTGGCAACAAGCATGCTGAAGAGTAAAGAGTGAAGGGAGGCAAATAAGAGATGGATGGAAAGACTCAGGATGAGGGAGAGCAGAGTGAATTCAGCAAGGGGACTGACACCACAAAGCACTTTTCATTGGCCCTTCCCATAGGAAGACACTGGCACAGGCAAAGCCGTTATCGCGTGGAACTCCCAGGACCCTCCCCGTGGAGGACGTGTTCCCGAAACGGTCCTGTACATCATGACCGATCAGACGGCGTTAAACAGGGCTGTGCACCCCGTCATTCTGTCAGACTGGCTGCTCAGCGCAGGAGAAACAGGGGATTTGGGCCCCTTCTTTTCAGAATGGCAGTCTCGCCTCGCTGAGCCAAGGCTGATCGATAATGAGTGACTGAAGACAGCCGGACCCAGGAAACGTTCCCAGTTAACAAGTCGCAAACTTAAATCGGCAGGAACACTGGACTACAGCTTGTAAATGCAAACTGATGATGGCATTTCAATCCTTCTTTCTTAAATAACCACTTAATCAGCCTCAGAGTCCTGGAAGCACAGAGCACAAGGCAGGGGTATGCCCAGGATAGCATGTCAGTTCATCAAAAGGCAGAGACACAGGTCAGAAGGTCACTGGTTCAAATCCCAAACTTGGCAGAAGAATCGCATCACTAGTGGGTACTTGGGCGAAGCCCTTAACCCCCTGGAAAGATGCCCCAGAGGTGCCGGATATATGGCTGACTTTGCACTCTCACCTGTAAACATGTACCTATACTTGTACCTATACTTGTACCAGATGGTAAAGGGTAATTTCATAATTTAATTTCATACTTTCACAACCTCGTACTATAGTCAATTTCGAGAAACCTAACTTCATGCTTCTGGATAGCAGGAGGAAACTGGAGTACTCTCAGGAAGTGAGCACAGAAACTCCACAGAGAACCACAGACCCTGAAACTGTGAGGCTGCACTGCTACACAGCACCAGCTCTACATACATGCATGACACATATAGGAGCAATTCATTATCTTAATACAACACAGACCCAAGACTTAACCAAATCAGAGGCTGCAGCAGTAACGCCCAGGCTCCGCCCCACACATCATTTACCTGCATGTGGTCTCCCGCCAGGACGATCCGGGTGCTCTTGCTGGCTAAGGCGAAAGGCATGATGGTCTCACACTCCATGGCCTGAGCGGCTTCATCCAGCAGGATGTGGGTGAAGAGACCTTCAGACGGGAGGGAAAGATGTGACACTAACGGCCAGAGGCCTCCACGGGGTGCGGCGATGAATGGAGACCAGGCTGATGTTTGCTTATGCATCAAAGGAACAAAACCAAGCACACGGCAGAGACTGAACCCTCCGTGGAAAATTCACTCCTCTCTTAGTCTATGGTCCTCAAGGCAATGAGGGGTAATTATGACCATCTCACATTATGACATAAATATACAAGCAAGTGTCTGAATGCAAGTAAATGAACAGACACATGCAGTTAGAGTAAGTAAATCTGTGCAGCCACGCAAGTTTCACACAGAGAAGGACACTCTAATCAGAGCTCTTCCCCCCTCGCAATCCACTTGCTCACGAAAGCTGCCTCCCCACCCTAAAAACGCAAAGTCTCCGCCTCAGTTTATCCTCAACCGTCGAGGGCCAGCTTTCATTAGCTGGACAGTCGGAAGCGAGAAGGCACTGCAAACACTGTGAACACTGCTTACCGCACGCTAAGGTGAGAACGCACCATGAACGCCGCTTACCGAGAGGCAAGGCGAGAAGGCACCAAGAACGGCGCTTACCGAGAGGCCAGGCGAGAAGGCACCTAGAACAGCGCTTACCGAGAGGCGAGGCGAGGAGGCACCAAGAACGGCGCTTACCGAGAGGCCAGGCGAGAAGGCACCGAGAACGGCGCTTACCGAGAGGCCAGGCGAGGAGGCACCGAGAACGGCGCTTACCGAGAGGCCAGGCGAAAAGGCACCGAGAACGGCGCTTACCGAGAGACGAGGCGGGAAGGCACCGAGAACGGCGCTTACCGAGAGGCGAGGCGAGAAGGCACCGAGAACGGCGCTTACCGAGAGGCGAGGCGAGAAGGCACCGAGAACGGCGCTTACCGAGGGGCGAGGCGAGAAGGCACCGAGAACGGCGCTTACCGAGAGGCGAGGCGAGAAGGCACCGAGAACGCCGCTTACCGAGAGACGAGGCGAGAAGGCATCGAGATCGGCGCTTACCGAGAAGCCAGGCGAGAAGGCACAGAGAACGGCGCCTACCGAGAGGCGAGGCGAGAAGGCACCGAGAACGGCGCTTACCGAGAGGCCAGGCGAGAAGGCACCGAGAACGGCGCTTACCGAGAAGCCAGGCGAGAAGCCACCGAGAACGGCGCTTACCGAGAGATGAGGCGAGAAGGCATCGAGAACGGCGCTTACCGAGAGACGAGGCGAGAAGGCACCGAGAACGGCGCTTACCGAGAGGCCAGACGAAAAGGCACCGAGAACGGCGCTTACCGAGAGACGAGGCGAGAAAGGCACCGAGAACGGCGCTTACCGAGAGACGAGGCGAGAAGGCACCACGAACACAGCACCTGTGGTTTAGGTGCACGACAAGGCACCTGAGAGCCGCTTTGCATTTCCAGGAGCTATTAGCAAACCACGTTAGCAGTGGCGCTAACACCCGCGCAGTGAAGCAACCACAGCCGAAACGGACGGACAGGGGGTGGGGGGATCTTACAGACTTTAGTGTGATGCACCCCCACCCTGAAATGCTGCTAGAGATGGGCGGAGGGGGTATATCTCTCAGCAACAGGCAGCTTTTCAAAACGGGGCAACTGAGCAAATCAAAGATACAAGAGGAGGACCAGGGCAGCTTGGCCGGCCGGCCCAGAATCTGTGATTCACTACAAACATGAAGGATCCACGGGCCCCCAAAAGGCTCATCGAAATCAGATCTTCATCAACAGCGAACGCACTGCGAGGGGAGATGAGGCAGGAGCTAATGATGTGAAGTGTATTAGAAACACAGATGGTGTTTCCAAGCAACAGACAAACCTCTCAGCTGACACAGTAAAACCCGTTATTAGCTTCTCCTGACAAATTGTTTTGGGTTTTAGGGTCTTTTTATGGACTTTACGGAGTTCAAATTCGGGGGGGGGCTACATTACCAAAACATGTGTGTTTTCAGGCCCAATGAAGACACACGCGTGGAGGAACATTCCTTCACAAATCCAAAGCATTATCATAATTGTGAATTTTATGGTGGAAATGATTCCGTTCATCTCTGAACGGTCCCATTTGGATGTCACAAGAGTACAGAGGCTCCTACCTGGCTCCAGGTCCAGCTGGCACAGATACTGGGAGGTGCTGAGGGTCATCACCACCACCCTGTGCTTGATGATGTCCTCTCGCTCGGGCATCTGGAAAGTGAACTGTGTGCTTGAGATCAAACAGTACTGCTGCACGATGGGGTGGACGGTCTTCACCCACCGGTTCCTGAAGTACACCCTGGGGAGGAAGGGAGGCAGAACCGGCGGTCAGGCTCCTGGTGACCCGAGGCCGGGAGTGAGGCCTACAGGCTGCCCAGGACAAGCCGAACCGACCCGGACGCAGGCGGCTATGGACCTGGGCACTGGGCCCGTCAATCGACGCCCATCTCAAAATGCCACTTTCGGTACGCAAACCCCAGAGCATCCGCTCATTTTAGACACCAAATGGGATCAGACTGCCAGAATGTTCCTTTCTGATGGGGGAAAACACAGTAATTGAGCTCAGCTCGATGTTGAGGGAAATTCCTGGGTGGAAGCAAGAGGAGAAAGCCACGGGTACAGGGAGGGGAGCATGGGGGTGGGACAGCAGGCTGACGTGTGTCAGCCAGGCCCGTCCACTTAAACGGAAGAACGGGGCTACAAACAGGCCAGAACGGCAGGGAGAAAAAAAAACCTCTTGCTGTTTAAGCACATAAACAAGCGCTGACAGAACCTGGGAGGACTAAAATTAGTCTGATTTTTCCACAGCATAAAAACCATCGGAGGCGGGTCACCCTGCCCCCACCGCTCATGATTAAGCACAAACAAGCCTCGTGACTGGAACCCCACGCATAGACACTTATTTCCTCCACATGAGAGCTGCCCCCTCCCCCACCTGGTACCGTGGGCCTATTTTACACGGCTCTTTCCAAAAAAAGGAAAACCCCCTCACCTGAGTGGCCTGGCGTGCGAGTTGCCCGCTTCGACATATGGGTGTAGATAGTCCTTTATGTACAAATCAGCAGCGCTGTTGGAGTGAGTGCAAATGAGGACCCTGGAAAGAGAGCAGGTGCCATCTTTAATATCCACGAGGCATAGGGGGCGCTCTAGGCAGATCACAGAACACCCTCTGAGGCTACTGCATTTTGGGCTCATGCCAGCAGGGGGCGCAAGCATGATGCTCCCTGCACCCAAACCCTACACACCCATTATCTACCTTTCTTTCTTCAAATATAATGCAGAACAGCGCCATCTGTTGATTTTCACAACTTTTGCAATGTAAATGCATCATTTACTTGTAATACCATCAGTAAGAACTGTCATTAATTAAAGTGAAAGTGAACATCTGAAATATTAAAAGTGCATTCTTCACTGTGGTGCCAAAAATGAGGCTGAACAAGAATGGATTGGGCTCTGTTTATTTCTCCATTACAAATCAGAAATCCAGAGCTAAAGCCTTTTCTTTTAAATGCCATTTAACGAAATGATTGACTGAATAATTACTGCATTTAGGATTTGCAAATTTTAACACAGAACCACAGCAGCGACTGTAAAATCACAGCTAATCCTAAAAGCCGCCCCACAGAAGATTTCCTCTCATCTCAAGTGAAACGCGACGCTTATCGTTAAAGAATCTCCTGGAAGAAAAAACTAGCGACTCAGAGAATATTTAACCCTTAAAGTGTCATCTGTATTTCACGCAGCTCCCAGAATGCGGTTTACACCCAAAAAGCTAAGATCGCTAGGGCTGCTTAGCTAACCTGTTATATTAAAACAGGGGACAAAAGAGTGTGTTCCACCCTTTCCAAAGTATGCATATATTAAAATGCTTCGTCTGTGTCGGATGGCGTCAGTTCTCCACGCTGCTAGCGTCCTGAGTTTTGCCCCAGCCAGCCAAAATACGGCCTCACATCCAGATAGATTCTGAAATCATGGCCTTTATCCAAATTCGATCAGAATGGAGAAGCTGTGTGGACTGGTCGACTGCAAATAGTCCGTTCCTTCAGAGCCTTTATGAACCCAAACTGTGTTTGGTAGCTTGCAAAGCAGTTTGTTGCACATAAGCCGGCGCTTTAGATAAGTTAAAAGCCTAAGAAAGTCGTACGATTCTTCCTTACATCTGCGGCGAGTGACGTGCTGACATCGCCAACCCGAGCTCCTCCCCTCTCGCACATGCCGAGTGAGCTGATGTCACAGAGCTGCGCGGTCACACCCACCTACTCTCCTGCTGCTTCAGGATGTGCTTGACCGCTTGAGCCAGGGTGAAGGTCTTGCCCGTCCCGTACGGCCCGATGATGAGCACTGGGGGCAGCTGGATGGAGAGGGGCGTGGTGATAGCCAGGATGGCCTCCTTCTGCTTGGCGTTCAGCCGGGGGTCCAGCTGCTCGTCCCACTGCCTGTTGATCGCGAGGAGGGGGGGTGAGACACAGAGGCAGCCTGCACATACACAGGCAGTCCTGCTCCCACCCTAAAACCCCATGAGAGCTCCTAAGGATTCCACTTTTGACACAGAAGCAGAAACACCTGTGACCGGATCAATTTCTTCAAGCCTCTCGCCCTTCCAGGTCAAAGATAAATCACGGAGTTGGTTGCATTACAAAAGCTACCTTTACAAGTGCGCCCTGAGAATCGACCGGAGAGCTATACAAAACATAGATCTGGCATACTAGAGCGACGCACTAACATTAGGATCCTCATTACCGTATGGGCTGGCTGCCTGGATGCCCCGGCAATCAACTCTGCTCAGACTGAGCAAGATGAAATATCTGCTCTTTTCATCTCTCGTTGCCACCAGCAGAGATGAAGGTGAAGGGGAAGACATCAAAGGCAATGCATACGACTGCTTCATTTGCACCACGAGACGGAAGCATGTTGAAATTCTGCCCTCTACCATTCCTGCCAGTCATCCTGATCGGGGGGGGGGGGGCCCAAAGAGGTCAAAAGAGAGACTCATTAAGTCATGGAAATTCCTTTGAGCCCCCCCACTGATGCTGTCAATGACTGTATACAGGACAGCAAAGCTTGCTTACTATTGTTAAGATAAATGGCACATGGAGATTCTATGTTATGGGTAGCGCACTACCGTAAGTCTCACACGTCCAAGGTCGTGGGTGCGAATCTTGGGACCCTGTCCTGAGTGAGTGGCTGTAAGATGAGACAGATGAATGGATTTTAAAATAGAGTTCCGGTCTCAACACTGACCTACACTTTATCAAGTACAGTGTCAAACTGAGCCTGAATCCAATCCCAGAATGAACTGTGAGAAGGGAACACACTGGAGTTAATGTCTGTCCATTGCAGGGTGGGCACTAGGGCTGATTTTTGACTGCATATCGATATATTTTTCAAATGAGACACAAGATGAGACAATATCGTTTATATCGATGTGCTTCTATTGTGCCTTAAAATAGTATGAGCAAAGATGTTTAATAGAGACCTATAGCATTATTTCCTAGTTGTAAATGACGTGAATGATGTTGCACAGAATCCCAGAATTCAGAGATACAAAACATTCAGTTAATGTCTGATGGGGAATCTGATGGAGGGGAAAGGTGAGGAAACGTTGTCATCGGGTTTACACAATGGGCACTTTACAGACGCCAAATCTAACCACATTTTTGCATTGTGGGAGGCCACTCGAGTACCCAGGGGATCCATGGTGGGAATTCAAACCCCCAGGCCTGGAGGTGTGAGGAAACTGTCCCACCCGCGTCGGCACGGTGCCACCCTCGATGTAATAAGAATGTTACTAAAATACCATGATCTTACTGCACCTGAAGGTACGGGCACTCTGACAAGGTGACTCTCTGAAGGCAGAGTCACCAAGTGTGATTCTCCGTCAGGCCCGGCCGCGTGAAAGGAGCACAGCGGCGCCGTCCAGGGCCACGCGTGCACACACACACACACACACACACACACACACACACACACACATCAGAGCTGCCACAGTCAGCGGTGGTGCCTCCGACTTTCACAAGGACGCGCCTGCCACAGCTCCCTGCACCCGAAAAATCAAAGCAGAACACCTGGAGATCGGGCACACTGGCTGGTGCCCGCTCGCTCACAGATCCCCACCGTATGGGCACCTGTCCTGCAGTCAGAGAAACAGCTACCTGATGACTGAAACGGCCCATTCAATCCGAGGTAGTCACTCACCTGGAAGCCCAAGGATACAGCACAGAACAGAACGGACGAGACCCCACAAAGCATTGGTGCACAAACTGCCACAGCAGACCACAAACCAGGGGCAATATTAGCCATGGCTGGTGGCATTAGAATTACTCTATAACCCCCTTGAAACATGAGGGAAAAAAAACAAGCCTTAAACACCTGCTTTTGTCCTCAAGAACATCTCCATCCACAATCTCTTTCTTTTGATCGTTTTACGCTGCTCAGCTGCCATCGAGTAACACAATTAGCCATTTCCGGCTTCGACACGTTCCAGTCCAGACAGAGCTCGTGTGACCCAGATGAAGAGAGGCATGCTTGGGACCTGCCCGACACCATGAGGCCTTGAAGATGTGCTGCTAAAGCAGGCGACAACACGGGGAGCTGCCATCTCTCATATCACCTTATCACGTGCAGGCCCAGCAAATGCAACACTACAAGGCTTTGTGTTAAAGGTACAGCACATGATTTACAGCCATAAGAATTTACCATAATTCTTTTGATTTTCTGCCCACTTCCCACTGAGGTAGCTAAACAGGTCCTGCTCATATTTATTCATGGGGAGGAACTTCAGTTATGACACCTGCAAAATGACAGTCCCCCCTGAAGCAGTAATATCAGTACAGGTTCAAGAAGGTGGTGCCCCCCCCCCCTGTCAAACTCCTTTTCAGTGACGCTGCACATTCCACAGTGAGCTTCAAGTTGCTATGTCACAGTGGCTGAAAAACTGCCCGGTAACAGCACAACATGGCAACCCGCAGGCCGAATGACACCAAGGGCCACTCCAGTTAGACTTTAATCATTAATTACCATGCAGTGCCAGCGTGCAGCCAAACGAGCCGCCGATCGCCAGCACCAGCGCCTGTACAGGGGGAAGCGTATGGGGGACACGGACGGACGGGCGGGCGGCGTCGCTGTGCCGCTCGACACAGCGCGAGGGAGGTCACTACCTGTTGGGGCTCCAGGGGATTGTGGGAGTCATGCTGGTGTCAGGGAACAGGATGCTGTTGTCCTTGATGCGGTCCAGGGCGTAGTGCATTTCACAGAGGGGCTGCCGGTTCAGCTGGAACTGCAGCTCCACCTGGGAGGGCGAAGATGGGGGTGACAATGGTGGGGGGGGGGGTGTCAGTCTCCAGTGTCAGCGCAAAGTGGAAAGTTTGCAAAAGCCAACCTGAACATTTAACTGGAGTAAACAATCAGCAGACTTGTTCTGTGCCAGCATGGTGTGTCTGATGAACACCGTGAGAAATGGGTATAAAACTCACAGAAAGACAGTAACAGGCAGAAGCTCACAGGCAGAAGCTCACAGGCACTCGAAACAGAAGTAAAGCCTCGCGGGCGGGACAACCCACAGCACTGTGCTACGTACAAATGCAAGTCAGACAGAATTCCTCACATGTAAAACACCTGAATACTTGATAGCTTAAGCATTTATTCTGAAATAAGCTACTTAAATTCACGGCCGTAGGCCGGACCCACTGCTCTCCTGAGGCCCCCAGCCTGTAGCCGGAGGGGAAAACCTAATCTGTACCTAATATAAAACCCTTTATGTTTGCTAACAGGACAGGACAGAGCAATGTGGTTCCGTGACCCCCCCCTCCCCCCACCACTCCTGATCTCAATCCCGAAGATGATGGACAGGTTATGCCTCCAGGCAGAAACTCAGCAGATAAAAACCCGTGTCTCTGATGCGGGGCTCAGTCACTCACACAAGGCAGGGGGATTTGTTTTCTGGAAATGGTATTAACTGCTTCCCAGGATTTCATTAAACACCTTCTCAGGACAGCTGTAACCAATACTCATCCTGTTCCATGTAGAAATCGCAGCACAAAAGCATGAGGGCAAACCGTACAACCACAATTTGTCTTAACCACCTGACCCGATTGGTCCACAGAACATTTGTCGAGTATGGCTCAGCCAATGGGGCGATGCCACGTACCTGCAGCTCCCGGTCCGGCTGCAGATGCAGCTCCTCACAACAGTCCTTGCAGATACGGAGGAAGATGTAGTCCTTGGTCTTCTCCTCGATGACGGCCTCGTAGACCCTCTCCTTGGCCCCGGGGGGCTGGCCCCCCCGCTCACGCCCCAGGGGCAGCAGGAGCACGGAGTTCACCTTGGTCATGACCAGCCGGCCGGCCAGCGTGTCCTCCGACAGCGTCTCCGTCAGCCGGAAACGGGCGAACAGCTGCCCATTCTGGGCGTACTTGGCGCCGCCCGAGACGCCGGTCAGCATGAAACTCGTCACCAGCTGCAGGTTCACTTTGATGTTAAACCTGTAGGGGGCGCACATGTGCACATACATGGCTTGTCAGTGTGCTGCGAGAAAACCTGTCACTGCCATCGTTCGCTTTTTGAGAAGGCTTCAAAAAACTGCTTAACGTGCTGTTCAAATTCACAGTTACGGGGGGGGGGGGGGGGAGAGAAAAATTCCTAATTACCCCAAAGTTCTCACAAGACACAGTAGGGATTGGACTCACGGCATTGAGACAGTTGAGAATAAACGATCAGACAACAATCGCCTGGAGCCAGCAATCAGCAGTGGGGCACGGCTGGGGCCGTTAGCGCTGTACCGCTGACTGACGGGTGGCGTGACGGCTCCTGTCCGGCCATAATCCGCACGGGGGGGGGGGGCTTCCCATAACGACCCCACCAGGCTGCAGCCTCGTTACACGGAGCAGCAGGAGGTGAATTAGCACAGAGGCTGCAAATCACTTCAATTCAACAAGCGCGCGCGCGCTTCAAGTCTTAGAGATGCTGAAGAGATTCTCCTAAGAAATAGCCACCAGCTCCCCATTTAAAAGACACACACATTTCCACAAGCCAGTGTCCTTTGCCCTGCTCTCCTCTAACGAGTCGGTCATTACCAACAATTCACCTCGACTTTCAAAACACAGACGCCGGCAGACTTATCAAAGGTCAGCAGGGTAACAAAGTGATGTCAGATCACCCGCGTATGACCACCCCCCCCCCCCATCAGCGACCCACACACCCACAACAGGGAGGGGAAAGCCACCATCACTCATCGCACCTTTCCTCCGCGCCTGCCGAGATGTCAGCTCCATAAGGAAGTGTAGGGCCGCATCAGAGACCCCCTGAACCGAGCCAAATTGGATGAAGACCTATGCTGACACCTAGTGGTGGATGTGGAGAACCGCAGCCATGTCTGTCAAACCTGCACTCATGGCAAAGCGGTATTCATTTACTGCACTGATATTTCTGCATTCCACTGCACTGATATCATATTAAAGTAGCATACATGGATCATTCGATTAGTCACTAGGAGCGTATGGCACACACGCATTTCATAGAGGTGCTGGGCGACGTATCAGAACGTAGCTCCCAATCTCCAATCTGATGTGTGTGTGTGTGTGTGTGTGTGGGGGGGGGGGGCGTTAATTCAAACAAAAGCATGTGACAGAGTTGAAAATGAATGAATTGGGCAGAGAATCACAGGAGGGGAAAAAGGTATCAAAACACAGGAAAAACTACATTAATAAGCTGTCAGAGAAGAGACACGTTTTAACTAATATGCAATTCATAAGGGATCCATCAAGCCGCATGGAAAAATATGCAAATAGCATTAAGACTGAAAAGTACTGGAGGCCTTATTCCAGCTCGATAGGCTTTCTGCAGTTTGCTTCACTGCGAAGGCCATTTTAAAACATACTGCAAGTACAACAAAGAGAGCCCCGTCAGTCAGGTGAAGCATGCAGTCCACAGCGAGACCTCCAGGTAGCAGCCACCCCCCTTCAAGCATTCCTAAAAAGGATGGAGGAGACGCGAGCGCAGTCCAAAACTCCCTCGGTCTCATCGACGGCATATCGAGGCAAGAGCACGAAAACCAACGAAAAAAAACCAGTGAAGCGTAAACGTAACTGGAACGGAAATAGGTCACTGGCACATTACAAACCGTCTTCGCCACATAGAAGTGGGGAATCGGCAGGCACGACTGACGGGAACTCAGCAGGATGGAGGCGAAAGGATGAGACGTGGGTCCTGGTGGACGGCACACCTACTTGCTGACTTCCTTGTACTGGGCGATCTCCTCAATGTACAGCAGGTCGTGCAGACGGGCCTGGTAGTTCTCCTTGGTGAGCATCTTGTCGAGGACCGACTGGGTGAAGAGCTGGTCGGCGGAGAGGGGGATCTGGTAGCGGGTCAGTAGACTACGCTCCAGCTCCATGGACTCGCTGGGCCCGAACTCCACAATGGTCTTGCAGGACGAGTCCCAGCGCTTGGCGGTCATCTGCAGCTGTTGCCGAGCATGCATCAGGTGCTCCAGGTCTGTGCAAGGTGAAGACAGAGCACGCTCTGTTATGGCAGCGTTTCCCATTCTGGTCGTCGGAGGAATCCCAGACAGTCCATGTTTTTGCTCCCTTCCAGCTCCGGAAGGGAGCAAAAATGTGGACTGTCTGGCAGGAAGCTGGGAGGGAGAAAAACATGAACTGTCTGGGGGGTCACTGAGGAATGGGTTGGGAAACGTTGTGTTATGGGGTCAAATAAGCCATCAGCAGTGGGCATAGTACCGAACCGGAACCTGTGACCGGGTATGAGATCCATGTGAACCCCAAGGTGGGTCCTGGTGGGTCACTTGGCCAAAAACCTCAAATTTATTTTTGTAAAAATCTTCAAGGTATAGAACAGTCCAACTTTGTTAGGAAAAAGAAAGGTTTAAAATCCAAACTTACAAACAATTAAAACATATAAACAGGAAATATTGTAACCAATCAAATACTTTAAAACAACTTTCACATATAACCGTTAGGCTCAGCACAAACATAGGACCCAATATGAAAACAGTAAACATCCTTCTCACTATGAAAGGTCTCAAAATCCAAAAGCCTACAATATCTGCATTTGCCAGAAACACAAACCATAGCGATCGGCACCAAAAAGCGAAATGTTCCCTGGCAGTATTGCTGCCCATTGTGTTAAGAAGCTTTATCTTCCACAACATACCTTACCACATGTTAACTGTCATTCCTAGAGGGGGAAAATCAATTTTAAAAAGTTGAATAGCTAATCTCCAGCCAGCTGGTAGTGTATACTTTGCATGTGCTTAAGAACAAACATTTGGCAATAATTAAAGAAACACATTATGAGAGAACACCTTGTGTTGACAGGGATTTTCAGACACCAGAAGTGTTAATGCCAATTAAGTGACTTCCTGATGATTTCACATATCATAGGCTGGCAATCTGACACTTCAGTAATTCATTAGGGTTACTCTGAGTCAGAGGACATGCTTATATTAGCTTCGTCATGCAGGTTTTGTAGCTCAGGCTAATGACATGAATTACACAAGCAGCACATCCACCTACAGAATGAAATAATAATGGGCTGTTTAAGTCACAAGTAGCATCATAATAAGCTCGGTCGTAAAATGTATAATGTTTATGTTTTATGGATCTTCCCTCGCAAAACATGCCGGTTTTCCCTTCTGTAACAGCTGTTCCTGTCTACTGTCAAAGCAGCAGCAAATAAGATGAAAGCCCATATTACCTAATGCAGGAAATGTCAGGCCAGAAAAGGCTACCTTATGCAAAATGTAAAAACACTGACTGCTGAAATACACTTTCACGTGGGGGGAAAAAAATGAGGCCTTTTTTTAAACTCGCGCTAAAATGAAAAATGCTATTTTAAGCCATCTGTGACATAACTACTGTAAAGGAATATGTCATGCGTGTGAAGAATTTGCATCTTAATACATTATATTAAAATGAAAACCAAATATGTGCTGCAGGACACATTATCATGTAATTTCACATTCATACATTCTGACTTTGCCATTTCACAAAATCCATGTATAAGTGAACATATTCAAGAGCTGTCACCCATTATAAAAGTGGTTACCTGAAACTCGGATACACTCTAAGATCCTTTTTTATTTGTCCCTTATTCGTACAAGTGCAGGTTTACAGGAATTCTTTGGTTTACACTTATTCACAGTGGTCTGGCGTGCGGCTCCGTCCTTTAGTGACGCCGGTAACCCCCTGGAATACTGCAGAAGCTCCAGATAAACGGCCTTACCCTGTGCTCTCTTTTGTGTGCCTGTACGTGTGTGTGTGTGTGTGTGTGTGTGTGTATACACACAGTAAGGTGTATACACACACACACACACACACACACACACACACACCACTGGAAAAAATTAAGAGATCTGCATTTTCTGATCCTGGTTTAATCCTGGTTCTGCTGGCAGAAGCTACACTGAACTGAACCTAACAGGCTGCTTCCAGGCTTGAAGTTTCTAAGACAGCAGCACACAAGGACAAAGTGAGGCAGGAGACACTGGCAATGACCAAAAACCAGCCAGGTGGAGGGCAGGAGCGACCTTCTAATGCCGGAGATGACCGTCAACTTATCCGGCAGTGCCTCATAAATCGGAAGATGACACCAGGTGACATTCAAGGACACCAAGTGCACTGCTAGGACAATTCATAACAGGCTCCTAGAAGCAGGACCGAAGTCCCCTAAAGCGAGGAAGAAACCCTTCATCAATGAGAAGCAGGGAAGAGCCAGGCTGGAGTTTGCATAAAAAGTCTATATCAGGGTTTTTCAAATCACGGTCCTCGAGGTGCGAGCACTGCTGGTTTTCCAGCCTGCCTTTACCTGTGAGCCAGGCGTGAAGCCTCTGACCAATCAGAATCAGTAATTATTAAACCAACTACCTGGGAGAACTGAAAACAAGGCCTGGATTTGGAATTGAGGTCCAGATTTGAAGAGCCCTGGTCTATATTTACAGGGAAAGTGAAAATTTTGCTGTGGTTTCCAGAGCTGTATATTCCAATGCACCTTTACATCATTTCATATTTCACGCGGCTCCATTAGACACACAGAAACACGCATAAAGAGGCGAGAGCACAGGGATGGCCATTTACTCCGCACCCCCGGAGCGGTACTCCTGGGGTTAAGAAACGGCAGCCTTCCTGACCCGCACGTCCGATCCTGCATCTTTAACACCTTGAGCTACTGACTGCCTCAAAGAGCCGTAATGACAAGCGCAGCTGCTTTTAATGATGCCCGGGGGCCAATCAGGCGTGGAGGCCGGGAGGATGGCAGCCGGGGCGGCGTTAATGGTCGCCTGCCCGCCTGGCAGGGATCCATCAGGGGCTGCTGCGGGTGACACCCTCTGCGTGGCCTCTCTGCCTGACAGAGCGCCTAGTGTCAGCCTTGGCAAACACGAGTGTCCATCAGCCAATGAGGACGCATGAAAAGGCGAGACCTCTCACATGCAGGGCCCGCCCTCTCTTAAAGGGCCTCAAGAACTGGCAGGCAGGTATGGGGGGGGGGGGAAGCATCTACCATTTGGTGACATAGCGACCTTGGCACCATTCGGTACATGTCAGCTCCACAACCTGAATTTAAGTACAAAGCCAGTCTGCTCTCACTTAATTCACAACAGCTTTCATACAACAGAAAGTTCACCAAGACTCATGTTGCACCCTTCGTGGAGAACAGCGTCGTGTAACCGCATATTCCCGACACGCATGTGCGTTAACAACCGGCACAGAAGCTGGAAAGTGCAGATGCATCACGGCGCGAGGTTATTAAAATGTCCTGTTCTGTCCTGTGTGCCTGAGGATTGCCTGTGAGGATTGTGCTTCTGCTGGAACAAAGGCCTGCGTCCGCGAGTGCCGGGTGTGTGTCAACGAGCCGCTGCTGCCGGATTAATGCCAAACACACCAAAATGATGTGTTATTTAACAAGCCACCCGAAACGCCGGTCTCGACAGACATCGCCCGAGTGCAGAGGAGAGGTCTTCTGTCGGTTTCATTTCTGCTATTTCATTGGCTGACCAGTGTTTGTGCATGAGGGACTTTGCATGCGAGGTTGTGGTGAAGCTAGTGAGCATATCTGTCTCACTACCCTTGGTGTGAAGACTGAGAAAGCAATGACCATTGGGTGAAAAACAATAAAAGGGAGTTTGCAAAGTGGTGGTCATAATAAAATTATTATTATATTTATATTAATAATAATAATAATAATAATGCTTAGAAAAGGAATAAAATGAAAACATCAGCCCTTAGCAGACATACCCTCTATTGAAGCAGCATCCACCATAACTCTCTGCATCAGCACTGGCTCCGAGCCAAAGTCGAAGACGATGGTCTGCCGGAAGGTGCCAAAGATCTCCGTGCTGAAGGCCACCTCCACCTTATAGACACAGTGGTCCGTGCCGTTCTGGGCCAGGCTGTCGCCGGTCCACTCCTGGCAGGCCTCGGGCACCTCCTGCCGCGTCTGGCCGGATGAGTCCCCCGCCATCACTGCCATGATGGAAAAATGTGGGCGGTGGGCGTCGTACAGCAGGGCGACGCGGTACAGCATCCGCGCAGGCTGGGGGAGAAGCACAGGGCACAGCACGCCGCCCACGGTCAGCACCGGAACCAGGCACCCTCAGAGCCGACCCGCGTCTCCAGGACCCATCCGAACCGGCCTCTCAGTGAAACTGACAGCTATTTTTCTTTGTATAAATATCTCATAACTCATAAACGCAGATAGTCCATGATCAGAAAGCAACAGGATAATGTACTAACTCATACAAGGACACATGAGAATTAAACTTCCCACGCTAGTCTGCTAGTCTAATATGCACATGGAAGGTGAACAGGAGGCGCCGGGATCAAACACGCCCCCCACCTTGCAGAAGAGGGAGAAGGTCCAGGAGTGAGACGACTTCTTGGTGGTGACGGTTACTGAGAGATCCGAGCTGTGCTCCACACTCACGCCATCCAAATATTCACTCAACTTAAAAAAACAACAAAAAAAGGATGTTATTTATACACAGAGACATATGGAACGTACACAAACACAAACAGGACAGCGTAAAACACAGAAATCCAAAACATACTTTAGCAGAGTATAAGCTGATGAACTGCAGATAATATCATGATACCACGGAACTCAAAACACTAGAGGGAGCGCAGCGGTAATTCGCGAGCTCGTCGCTGTCGGGCTGGTACGCTGCGTATTCAGCAGAGGCCGTCTGTTTACTTAACATCGCTCTGCTGTCTCTGCTCCGACCGCCTCAGGCTGTTCAGCCTACGGGCTACGCACTGCCTACTTCCGTCTTCATTCGATTTGAGTCAGCATGTTGGATTTGGCGGCTAGAGGTCAAACGGAAGAGGCGACGGGAAACGGGGGTCTGACCCCCGCCGGTTCACGTGGTGGAGCCGGGGCGTACCACTTTCTCCGGGGACAGGGAGTTCATCCACTTCTCAATGAGGGCCTCCATGTAGTTCTCGGCAAAGTGGCGGCCCTCCTGCTGCTGCTTGAGGCGGATGAGGCGGGAGGCGTAGCGCTTCTGCCACTCGGCCAGCTCCTCGCGCGAGTGGGCCGACGTGCATTGGGCACCGTAGCGGCACAGGCCCTGCTCCAGGAACCTGCGTGCAGGCCCACAAGAACCTTCAACATCGCCGCTCTGCCCCAACATCACGATGAGCCAACCGTAGGTGGTCAACCGCTCGCAAATACTCATTTTAACCTTTCTGTTTAGCAGAGGCTAAAATTGCAACACGGGGCAAGGAGCAAACCCAGTCTAAAAAAAGCATCAGATAATACTGTTCAATGCGATGCCCAGCAGAGGTGGAAAGTTCAGGTTCAGAAAGTACAGATCCAGACAAGATTTTATTTCAACCAACCAGTTTGGCATAGAGAGTCACATTCACTCAACCGCTTGGTTGAAATAAAATCTTGGGCTGGATCTGTACTTTCTGAACCTGAACTTTCCACCTCTGCTGCCCAGTGTCTGAATGACCTGGCCTGAAGGCAAGAAAACACCAACAATCCCACCAGGGTCTCAGCACTGCCAGACGTCCTCTCAACCAATGAAGTGACAGACCATATGCTGGCTTGCTTGTTTGATATTTTCCAAGTAGTTTTTCAAATATCTTGCCCATTGAAATTTAGTTTGACAAGATTTGCTGCTTGACAGACAAATGCAAGACCACATGCATGAGCCACAAGTTATAAAATGCCTCAGATTTTAAAGGAGCCCTATTACGCTTTTCCTTTATTTCCTCTTTCCTTTAGTGTGTTATATAACTTTACGTGCATGTAAACGGTGTGCAAAGTCTTAAGGCCCCAAGTACATACCTAGGGGAGTAACTCATCACAGAAACCACTCTTCCCTGATCTGCCTGAAATGCCTTGCTGGAATTCCAGGCCTTCTGGGATGTGGTGAGGTCACCTCGTAACACAATCCTTATTGGCTGCCTACCTGCAAGACTGTCTGCAGACTGCAGGAGGCAGAAAGTGTAGGACGAACTGATCAATCGGGAAAGTTGACCAATCAGAGCACCTTGGGCTCATCAGGGTGGGGCTTGAGTGCTTCATAGAGTTATAGACAGACTAAGATGTACAATATGAGAAAAATGTGTCTTTGGAACATTTTGAAAATGTAAATCTATTCCACTAAAATAATATTAAGAAGAGTGAAAATTAGAATAGGGCCCCTTTAACTAACAATGGAATTCCCTCCCTGGGTTTTAGGACCCAGAAAAATCCACGGCAATCATCCTGGTGGGAAATGCAGAGACAGATGCAGGGGGCGTGAAAAAGCATTACCTCTTACACAGGGTGTACTCCTCACTGCTGGTCACCCCTCTGGGCGGGGGCCGAAACTGCCAGCCATCCTGCACGTCTGCAAAAGCAGGGACACGGAAACATGAGCTTGGTCTACAGGCCGCCGCCCCGTGGCTCAGCCCTGCGGACGCACTGGGCCACAGTGGCTTCACGCGGCCACTCACTCTCACACTGTCCCTGCTTCTGCAGCCAGAGCAGCCCATCCCCTCAGTAGACTGACATGTCCAAAGGTGTCAGGCAGGTTCTATGCACCCCCCCCCCACACACAGAGAACATTGTACTGTATTGAAAATCCCCTTAAAGCAGGAGTTTTGACAAAAGCCTGCACATGCAAATCACAGTGCCCTGACAGTAATGCAACATCAGCCTTCCGATGGAAAGTCCAGTTTAATGAGCTCCATGCTACCCGCCATCACCTCGCCAGGGTGTGGGAGCCAGAGACGGGCATCGCTGCAGCCACTCGGGTCACAACCCGGCTGCGGCACAGAGACATAAACCGCTCACCTTCTTCATTGTCTTCACTATACTCTGAGGCCATCTTGCTGCTTAATGTCTGCAAAATCAAACCGAAAAAGTAGACGTTACTCCGCGTGACGAGGACAGCTCTACCCACAACTGACGCCAACAGCGAAGAACTGGAAGAATCTGGTCATAAAAACGGCAAAATTTTAATACAGGTTCCTTATGCTCATTTGAATTTAGTGTGTAAAGATCATTTTAAGCAGAAACTTCACATCAGCTGAAAAGGGAAAGTGTGGCTCAGCCGGCTAGGGTTCTGTGCCCATATCCTGAAGGTTGTAGGTTCAAACCCCACTGCTTCACACAGTAATATGACTATCGGGCCCTTAATTAAGACCATTAATCCCATCTGCTCCAGGGATATTGGCCTCTGCTCTCTGACCCCCAACTGTACATCCCTTTGTACAAAAGCTTGAGCTAAATAAGTAACTGTGAATATAGTGGATAAGGAATACGCTTAATAGCTTTCCCTTATGAGAGACCCATCATATTTCTAAAGCTGTAACAAAAAACAACAGTTCTTATCAGTTCATAGAATTCATAGTCAAATTCACCAATTCACAATATCAGGCAAGAGCATGTCATGTGACCGGTGGCTGAAAAATGAACATCACCTAGCAAAGGTCACTATGAGCTACACACACAAAAACAAGTGACGGTCAGAGTAAAAGGAAGGGCAGCACAATTAACTTATTCCAGGGGCATCATATTTAACTCGATGGACTTAAATTCTAAATATATTCAGCTATGAACTGACACAGTATCCGTGCCGTACGTGAGGAGCTCACAGCATAAGGAGATCTGCAGTGTGGATGTGAAGAACAAAACCATGTCAGTCCCAAAAAAAAAAAGGAGAGAAGTCATGGGAATACACACAGAGATAGGTGCATGCTGACAGTCATGTGGGCAGAGCAGTCAATGCCAACACAAACACACACACACACAAAAACACACACACGCAGAAGCACTTACTTGAATTTCTGACAGAAGCACTTTCAATCTGGTTAAATCCTTTGTCACGATCCCATTCTAGGCAAAGAGTTTAAAGATAATATTGCTACATTCATTTTAGGTGAAATAGCCTCCTAATGAAGTCCCAGTAACACAATACAGCTCTCCGCCAAAAGATGTAACATTTACAACCTACTCCTTAATACTTCACAGAACATTCTGATACAAGCATTTTGTACAGCTCTATTTAAAACGTGCTTAAAGCTACATCTACAGTGGTGAACGGCCAGGACCTGGTGCGGAGCCAGAGCAGTGAGTAACATCAGCTCTATTCTGGGTCTGTATTTCACATCTGACGTGCAAATCATGTTATTTTTGCTTTGAATTTAAACATGTAGCTTTATTCGGAGATCAGAAAACTGTCTGGTCCAGAGCACTGCGCTCCACATTCCCAACATGTGAGATCCATACATTCCAATAAACCACCTAAAAGCGCTATCAGAAGGCAGGTGACCTCACCACCAAGGTGGGGAGGGTCTCCCTTTAGGTTCTGCACTCCATCTGAAGCACCGCTCTGCCTCCCCCTACATGTGAAGCCGTGACAGGATCACAAGGAGCGCGATACACCGCAAGCGACAGGGGTGACGGCTTACCAGGGGCTCCCCGAAGAGCGACTTGGAGAGGATAGCAGAGACTTCCTGCAGGCTGCCGTCCAGGACCATGTCTCGCAGGCCGGCCTGAAATGCGCCATCCCCCTTCGCCAACTCCTCCGCCAGCACTGCAAGCACAAGAGAGGACACCGTGAAGGCACCATCCATCCATCTGCGCCACACCAAGAAGCCAACTGATCCGCAAGCGACCGGATTAACGCCGCCGACGGTTAAGTCAAGGTCCTCCGGCAAGTCAAGGTCCCGAGATGCAAAAGCACACACAGGACTCGGGATCACGCCTGGCCCAGCTCCTCACAGCAGAACTTGAGGAACAGAAAGATCTGATACGCTTCCTCGGTGCCACAGACTCACCGCGTTTGCAGTCCTCGTCCGCTTCATCGTACTTTTTCTGTTGGCAGAGAAACAGAGGCTCGGTTACATAATGGGGAAAAAAAAAAGATTGGGAATAAAACAAAAATGACAATTCCGTGATTAAAAACAACACGGGAGGAGCTACTGCTTCTGGGAGGAACCTTACAGGGCAGACGTTGATACCTCAGCACAGACAGGTAACATGCACTTCGAAAGCTAAATTTATTGAACATTTTTAGCTGGTAATTTCCCCTTCCTAAGGTCAACAGTGAAGGCACCCACACACAAAAATTCCTCTATACTATAATACCACCCACCATATAAACCCAGCTACAGCCTTCCAGAGTGACGGGGAAAGGCTCTGCTTTCAGCTGGCCGTGCGTCACAAGCTGACAGGTGACAGGGTCCCCACTTGCTGAGAGCCCTGCTCCGATTTACGGGCGTCTCTGAATGGCTCCCTGTTTTGACTTACCGACTTATTTCTGCCATGCTTTATCCGCTCGTTCGCCAAACTCCACAGGGTTCGAGAGAATCCTTAGCCATTCGAGTAAAGGCGACTAACAACTACTGTCCAACAGCGCAACTTAAATGTGCAAACTGTGGAGGATTGGCAAGGTGTAGTAGCTAGTGCCACGTTTCGGTGTCTCAGAATACAGCTCCTGTTACCTGAGCGGGGACCACACATGTCACCCGTGAGTGACACACCTGAAACTGTCCGCCTGTGTTTGCCG